GAGCGCAATGCCTCCCTGGGTTGTTAGCGTTAAACAGCTTAAGTCTTGCTTAGAAATGTAGTATGGTTCATCATTATGGTGGCTCTTAGTGATTCTTTGATAAATGACATCCTAGTGTAACTAGATGGAAAGAAAAATCAGGCTGTCAGTGCTGACAGAAGGCAGGGATTAGCAAATTAGAAATATTGGCCACCCGACATAGTGGTCCTGGAGAGGCCAGCCTGGGTTGTATAACAAGAACTTGTTTTAAGAAACCAAGGGCTGAGACTGTTGATCAGTGGTACAGCATTTGCTTAGCTAGCATCTAGGAAGCCCTCAGTTTGATTCTCTAGAACCTCACAAAAAGAAGAAATGGAGAATGAAAGGGAAGAGAGAAGCAGGGTCTCCTGAGCTGCTGGGTGGTGGATATGGTCAGTTAGTTCCCTGGCCAGTCTCCTTGAGGAGGCGCTAGAGTGCTTCTGTTAAGTAACCAATGGTTGAGAGCTCAGCTGATGGGAGAAGAGTCACCTGTAGGAGGGGGTTGGGGTGACTAAGTCTTAGCAGCCAGTGCAGCCTTGCATTGTAGAGCACATAACCATGGCCTGTGCGTCAAAACTCAGACTTAAGTCAGGACATAGCCCTTTATTAGCTGTTTGGTTCTTTCAAAAAGTATTTAATGTATCTGTGCCTTAGTTCGCATCTGTGCACAAGGGCAAATGGGGCTGCGTGCTGTAAATCCCAGTACATAAGCAAGCTGTGTGTCTATGCAGCATATCGCTCAGGAGGTAGCCCCCCAAATCCCTGAAGGTACATGCTGTACCTGAGTCGGCCTTTAGACCTTCCATGCTGGAGTTCTAGGGAGCTATTCTGGCTGCTTGGAATTCCCAGTGACCAGAGTGTGCCTTCGGAAAGACCACTGGCCCACGGAAGTGTTGCTTCAACCAAGAACACTAGTGTTTGGGGCGGAGTGCTGACCATGGTGATGGTAAAATTCGAAGCATGTACATGTGAGAGACACAGCCGTGAGCCTTGCAGCCGCACAGGAAAGTCTGCATTCCTCACTGCAGCTCTGCCTATCCGGCAGTGTTAGAGAAGATACCAACTGACAGCTGCTTTTGAACTTGAGAAATCCAGGCCTGCTGAAAGCTGTAGTCACCCTGTTCTAACCTCACCAACCGTCCTCCCGTTCTCAGAAATAATTGCCAGGGCTTCTCTTTTAACTTGGCTGCTTCCTCCTGTAGCTTACATTTGAAATCATCTCTTCGTGTGGAGCAATCCCCCATTTCTTGTCTGGAGTGTGTGATCTTTGCTCTAATTATGTTGAGAGAGCCACTTATTTCACCTGGCTCTGGTTGTTTGTGAGATACTAAACAGCCACAGGGCTAAGGCAGACGAGGATCAGAGAGTGGCTCAGCCTCTCAGGACCTCAGTCTCTTCCCTTGAAAAGAAGGAGATTGGACTAAGGTCATCCGGTCGTGTGACAGGAGTACGTGACAGATAAAGTAATGAAATCTTGTACCGTGAAAGCAACCAAAGGGCTCTCCCAGGTCCCTCCGCTCTGGCTGCCACAGAGCCCAGGAAGTGAGACAGAAAGCAAGATTGCAGAGGAGACGGTTATCACCAGAGACATTAAAGCAAGAGGTAGAATTAGTACAGGACCCAAACTGACAATCTTTGACCAAGAATTAATTAGAGTAGTTTTTCTCTCCTGCAATAGAAACCCGCCCATTGGGAACCTGCAGCTGGTTACTGATAGACAGTGTGGGTAGGATGTCTAGTCATCTGTCTTTGCTGTGGTCCCTCTCCTGGATCTGCCCATCTGACCTCTCCTAATGCTCTGACTCAGTTGGGTTCTTCCTATTTTGGAAGCCTCCACCCTCAAAATGCAGGTGCCCTTTCCTCTGCTTAGTGTCTGGCCACACCCACCATACTGCTGTCACTTAGTGGTGACACCTCTGTCACCAGTGCCTGGTGCAGTGCCATGAGGTCCCTTCAAGAAAGTGTCTGCTCTGGCTAGAGCACTTGTCCTTTGTCCTCACCTGTTGAAGTCATATCTAAGTGGCGGGTACAGCTCCAACCCTTTGTGTTTCCCTGCTACTCAGCAGGGGCTGTGCCCATCTGTTGTCTCCCTCTTTTCCTTCCTCTGATCTCAGTCTGAGCCCATTTGAGAGTTCTGATGGCAGTTGTACCAGTGCTGGGTGAGCTAGGTGCTCCTTGTAGACATGGATCTTGATTTATATTCCACTGGGCTCCCACAACACGTAGCAGTGTGCTGAGTGAATGGTGGTGCGTGGGCTGCTGCCCCGAGACTCATAGGAAAGCAAGTACAGGAGATCTAGTCTCCCCTCTCTGCTAGTGCAGCAGAAGCCTTCCCCCATGCCTTGCTAGGGAACTCCTGAGGCTGTGGAGGGCAGACCTTTCCTCTAACAGTGTATATGGACAATGTTACCTGAAGCGTCATTTCCTTCCATGTTCTTAAAGAGATGTCACCTTCCCCCCAACTGTGCCTTAGCTCCTGCTTGCTTTTCTCCTGTGTTCTTTGTAACATAAGGATCCTCAAGACTTCCAACTCCTTTTTGGAAGGAGTCAGGGTAGGAATTTAAATAAATAAATATTCTTTGTGCCCCTTTTAGAAAGCTGGCCTAGTTTTCTACTTTGTGTTGAATTCCCATTTGTGTTTTGGGTCATTATACAGCACTTGGTTCAGCCAATTAAGTTTCTTCTGTCTGGCGTCTTTATTCTGAGTCAGTATAGCCTTTTCTTGAGGCTTTAATAGTGTTCCTTTGAGGAGCATCCTTCTTTCTGGAGTTCTTTCTTGTTGCTTAAACGTTTTCCCCACGGGACCTTTGACAATTTCCCCCAGCCTAGCAATTTCTGCAAGTGCTTCATAACATACTTTATATTGCTCCTGTGTCAATCTTCAACACTAAGAGATTTCAACACTTAGTGATCTTAAGTTTCTTTACCTCCCAAACCACACTGTACAGAGTCTTCTCTTTTCTCTCCATGGAACTTCCTGCAAAGGGAGGTAGGCTGGGACAGGAAAGCACGTTGGAAGCTGTGGCGAGTGTGGCTCAGCCTCTGGACTTTCTGTTGCTCCCTCCCCCAGCCACGCTGATGATCACATGCATTTACTTAGTAACAGAATTCTGTAGCAGAAAGTGCTCTGCAAAGGTTGCATAGGTTGTATAGTTTGTTTCTCAAGTGTAGCTTAGCCAGAGCTCTGGGCTTTTTGTAGCCCATTCCCCCAAAGTGCTCTGCAAAGGTTGTATAATTTGTTTCTTTAAAGACAGATACTTAAGTCAGAAGGCTGGTTTCAAAACTGTTTAGAGCCTCTCTTGGTAATAGATGTAGCTAATTCACTAATGCTTACTGCACATGGCACTATTTAAGTGTAGACACACACACACACACACACATATGCAAACATGCAATATAGCTTTTAAAAGTTCAAGCAGAAGATCCCCACTTCTTGACAAGAAAATGGTTTGTTTAGTGTGGTCACCAATACTTAGCGTTTATTGCTTCTGTCTTAGTTTGCTTCTGTTTAGTGCATTTCGCTTGTCTTCCTTTTCTCTCACTCACTACTGCTTTAATCATATTTTCCTTATTTGTTTTTATACCTCTGGTTTATAAATTCCTTCCTTCTTTGTATCTATTGTTAGGGATCAGACCAAGGGTCTCGTGTATGCCTGGTAAGGGACTACCCTACCAGTGAGCTGCCCCAGCCCTGGCGTCTATCTCCTTATGTTCACATGTGTCATGTGTGCTTAACAGGCAAGTTATTTGGAGCATCTTGTGACTGATAGAAAATGAGTCTAATCTCAGCTGATCTCCAAGAGTCAGACCGTTGGTGTCTGAGACCACACACCTCAGTAGCAGCAGTTGGTCTTGTGGAAGCTATCAAGTGACATAGTGTGTCCCATAGAATACATTTTGTCCACACTTCTTTGCTTGCAAATGTTCATTGCAGTGAGTCACTGGTCTGTTTCAAGGCCTGTCACTTCTGCTACACTATCAATACTGGAACCTCACTGGGACTCCCCTCGATGGCCTGTTGTTGCTCTGTGTCATGGAGATCCTGTGGCTTTGGATCTGCAGGAGCAGCCCCTTCATGCATTCCAGTAGTTCACTGATGGAGTAGATGTTGGAGTGAGCCAACTCAAAGCCCTGCATCTGGGCCTGAGAGGTATCTGAGCTTATCATCCCACTAGCTGTCCTGTACCAACACCACTGGGGTGAAGCTCCCCTGCCCTGCCCTGACCTGGCTGGCCCATCCAGTGGCACAGCCAGCAAGAGGCAGAACCAGCTCTCCTATTCTCATGCCCCCACGCCATCAGGACCAGATCTACTGTGCTGTCCGGGTGAGGTGTAGAGCCTTCTCTCCCAAGTACTGCAGCAGGAAAGGGGTGGGGTCAGTTTTCCTGCTCTCATGACACTTGGGCCAGCTCTTCTGCCTGCTATAGCTGGCAAGAGATGAGGATATGGGAGGGCATCTCTCCTTTACCCATGTCACCACAGGGCAAACAAGTGGCAGAACCAGCTCTCCCATGTTCATGTCCTCATGGCCCTGCCACCAAGGTCAGCTCTATGCTGCCCAGGCAAGGTACAGGGTCAGCTCTTCTGCTTGCATTATCCCAGGCATAGCTCTCCCATAATGCCCAGGCAAGGGGTGAAGCCAGTTCTGCACAGCTCTCAGGCATCAACACATCCCCGGGCAGCAGACCAGACTAGGGACATCTGCCTGGCTTTTGGTGGTAACAGACCTCTGCTGCTGCAAGGCCACAGACCCATATGTGGCACTCAGTGGCAGCACAGGCCTCATGCAGGGGTCATCTGTCTTGGGCTCAATCTAGCTTGGGACCCACTGTCCCAGTCAGGGTTCTTCTAGTCTTCAGCTTGCTCCTGCTGGGCCCCGAGGCCCCAGGAAGGGTTTATCTTCTGTTGACTTCCTGCCCCGGGAGCTTGTCCAGGCCTTGTGGTACTGGGCTGGTGGTCATCTCAGGCTAACTTTTTCAGGGAATGTTAGGCTACTGATCATTCAGATGTTCACAGGTCAGAACACTGAACATAACCATTGCCTCTCTCCTCTCTGCCATCTACTGACACACATGTGACACAGCAGACACACCTGGCAGGGTTCAGACAGGGTCTTACCTTGTGGCCCCCTCTGGTTTCCCATTCTGTCTCTTTTCGTGCCCAGCAACAGCTGATGCCACTACCTGGTTGTTTCGTAGACTCAGCTTCGCCGACATCTGTGCCCTGTATACAGGACTGTCTAGTCGGGTACTCGTATGTGTTTGCTTTCTCTGGCACTTTCTTTAAAATGCCTCCATGATATAGTGTAGACAGGAATCTTTCCTTCATCAGGAAAACGTGCAGTGTCTCAAATTGTTGCTTTATATTTTCACCAACAGAAGACACTCTCAGTACTCCAATGTTTCTTCTTTTCTGAGCTGGGAGCTTCGTGGTTTCCTTGCTGCTGCTGCTGTTCCTCTTACCTTACCTCTGGTGTCTGGTTCGTTCTCCCTCTCACAGTGGCCCTGTCACAGGTGGTCTCCTAGTCGCACACTCTGAGGCTCATCTCAAACGGCACTTTATCGTCGTGTGCATGCTTGGTTTATAGGCATATCCCTAGAGGTGAGGCCAGTGCTCCTCCGTTTCTTCTGACACCATTGCTGTGAATGGGAAGCTAGTAACTCATCTGTCTTCCATCGCTATGAATGGGGAGTTGGTCTGCCATTGTGTTAATTGATATTTTGAAAATATCATTCTAAAGACATGTATCTGTCTGTAGTTTTATTTATTTATTCTGGGGGTTGCTCATGTCTTGCATGTTCTTAGAAGTGTAGCAGAAGCCGAGGAGTGTTATGGGCGTCCTGTGTCACTCACTGAGTCAGAAACTCGCCATTTGGGATAGGATCACAGAATTTGCCTGTCTCTGCCCACTCCCTTCCTCTCAGTGCTGGCATCATAGGTACCACGTGATCATCCCAGTCTTTACACGAGTTCTGGGGAATCAGACTCAGATCTCCATGCTGTTCCACACTGAGCCATCGTCCCAGCCCTGTCTTGAATTTTAGAAAATTTTCAGAAATGATCTGTTCTCCTGTGTGTTCATGTCTCTATCTAGAATGCCCCGCCGATGTCTGTCAGGCTTCTCATTTCTGACTTCTATAGTCTTAGCTTTCCTTTCCTGTGTTCTGTCTTCTTAATTCTACTGTCTGCTGTGAGTTGTTGTCCCAGACTCCTCTTCAAGTGAGGACCTTTCTCTTTAGTTCTGTCTAATCTGTTCAGCAGTGAATGGATTTCTGTGACTAGTTCCCTTGGTGTGTGTGTGTGTGTGTGTGTGTGTGTGTGTGTGTGTGGTCTTGACTGACACACAGAATCCTTTGATGTACTTGTAACCTGTATTCATGGTATTGCTTGCTAAGTCTCAGTCACAGCCATTTCTAATCCCTCTCACGACTCTACAGTGCTCAGAAAGCGGCTTTTCCTAATGGGCCTGTGTGAGTACACAGGAGAATGCTTCCCAGCCTGCAGGCATGTGTGTACCACCTGACCCCTGAGTTCTTTACCAGATTGCCTTCCTAGAACAGTGTGAATGGCAGACCCATCAGTGGTACCCTAAACCCAGGTTCTGCTGCATGCTTCTATTTGACCTTGAAGAAACCGAGCAAATTCTCTGGGCTTTAGTCTTTTCATCACTAAAAGAGGATAGTGTTAGTGTCTGGCACTGACCTGGGATAGTGTCTGCTCCTTAGGTTTTAGAGGAGTAAAAGGAGTTGATAAACAGAATGAATCATTATTTTGTAACAACTCCATCACTGCCTGGAGTCACTTTGCTTGCCCTTCCCTGCATATTCCATTTTCCCCCTAAGATTATAGGACGTTGTTATAATTTTTAGTTATAAATCCATTGATGGCTTTAAACTTTGCAGATGTTATCTCCCATTTGTGAATCTGGGGGATAGAGAGTTCTGTTGATATCTATACACATAAAATATAAGCCTCCTGTCTCTTTTAGGGCAGCATTTAAGAAGTCTTTTCTTACCCTCACTTCAAAGGTCCCCTCTGAAACTTTTCTTCTGTTACTTGCTCACCTGGCCTTCTTCACGTGCTCTGTGGTGGCAAACATCCTTTCTGGGTTTTTCTGTTTCTCTGTGTGAGTCTCTTTGCTTAGGTTATGAAAGTTGTCCACTTTCTTCTGATGCATCCCAGAGACAAATTTTTGTGTTAATTCCTCAGATTGGGATTCCTGTAAGACAGAATGCTTGCTGTGCTTGTGTGTCAGGGGCCTGTGTGTGGTTCCCTGCACCAGGTCTAGATGACTAGGGGCTGCTGTCAGCTTCCTGGTGCTCAGTGCTGCTTTAGCTTAGGGGGATGGGCCTGGGCCCTGGGCTTCATGCAGGGTCTCAGTTCCCATTCCCTGTCCTTGGTCTGCTGGAAGCCACATCTCTTGCCTGCATTACTGCAGTGTCCTTCAAGTCCAGAGACTGTACAAGAGCTTGAAAGCCCATGGGGCCACTGGTCTCAACTCCCATTGACTATTCCAGCTTTGATTTTGATGTCTCTTTCATTTTCAGGTGCCTGGGGATTTTTTTTTTAAAAAACTTGACTATGTATTTTAAAAGCATTTCTGTGGGTTTTATCCAGCATTTCTGTATGTCTGTAGTGGTAGAAAAGATGACTTTATATCACCTCAGTGTGCTGTTTTGCCAAAGGTCGGTTCTGAAATTAGCAGTCCTGTTAGTTTTAGTATTCTTTTTACTTTTAATACTGTCGGCTTATACATTTATTAAATAGCCCTTGCCTGTCCTTGAATGTTTTTGACTATAGCTACCTCCATTATCAAGTCTACCACATTGCTGGTATCCATACTCACTGTGAGATGCGCTGGCTGCTCTTCCAAAGGACCTGGGCTCAATTCCCAGCACCCAGATGGTACTCACAGCCGTCTGTAACTCCAGTTCCAGAGGCTCCAACACTCTTCCGGTCCCCATGGGCATTGTAGGCATGTGATGCACTTACATACATGCAGGCAAAACACCCACACAGATAGCATATGTGAATACAGATCTTCATTACTCTTTCCGAGTTTTTAAAGAGATCCTGTCATTTGACTGATTTGTTCTTACTCTGCCTGACTGCTTATTCATCAACTTACTACATTATTTTCTCGTTTTTATTTGTTAATAAGAATATTCATGGGCTGGAGAGATGGCTCAGTGGTTAAGAGCACCGACTGCTCTTCTAGAGGTCATGAGTTCAAATCTCAGCAACCGCATGGCGGCTCACAACCATCCACAATGATATCTGATGCTCTCTTATGGGGTGTTTGAAGACAGCTACAGTGTACTTACATGTAATGAAAAATAAATAAATAAATAAAACCTTTAAAAAAAAGAATATTCAGTAGTTTGACCACAAGGATCCCATGGGCAATGCTTACATTCTAAATTTTCTGCATGTTTTCTTTTGCTCTAAGTAGCATGAGATAGATTCCCATGCCATTCCTGCCGCTCCTGCTTCACTCCAAGTCACTCAGCCCCCATTCACGCACTGAGAAACACACAGGCTTTCTTTCCCCTCTGTGGCTTTTGTTCAGCCCTGGCTGAGCTGGCAGTTGTTATGTAGACCTGGGGTGATGTTCTGCAGCTTTGCTGCTGGGGTTTCAGGCTTGTATCACTACAGAAGCCCATGTGTACCTTTTTGTAACATAAATGTTAAAACAGCCTGTACTCAAATGGTTAGGCTAAATGCTCCCAGCCACCCTTTTTAAGGAAACTGAGAAGATGATATGAATTAACAAATGCAGCCATGGAGGTGTGGGTGAGGGGTGGAATGGCTACAAGTGGAAAAGAATTCTACAGTCTCTTGGAAGTGACTATAAGATGTGTTCTGTGTGCGAGTGTTTTGCCTGCATGTATGGCTATGTGCTTTGTTTGTACCTGGTACCTGTGGAGGCCAGAAGAGAGCACCATATCCCCTAGGACTGGAGTTACAGGTGTGAATAAGCCACCCTGGGGTACTGGTGGCACTCTAGGAGGGAGAACTCAAGAAAGTGTGCAGGGTGCCCTGTGGCTGGGTGCTCGGCCTTCATCAGTTCGTTAGTCAGGGTTCAGGTTTTCCCAGCCATGTTTGTTTGATGGAGGCTTTTGCACAGGGCCTCTGTTCCTGGTGATCTTCTGCTTCTGCCTGGCACCCATCTGAGGGAGCCAGTATCTCTTTCCTCTAATCAAGGTTACTGTCAGGACCATGGTCCCTTACACACGCTTCACATGCACACTGAAGCCTGGGCTCCAGGTAAGGTTTGCTTCCATTTCCCAGGTGTCAGAACATGTGAGACATAGATGCCAAGAGGAACAGCCGCAATTCTTTAACAAAGACAGCTACCGTTTCTCTTCTTTTTAAAGAGAGAATCTCCACCCTTCTCTTACCCCATGGAGATCCTGCGATTTTGTCATCAGTGCAGAGTCCACAAATTGAAACCTGAACTGGGCCCTCATAACCTGTCTTCCTCAGTGTCGTCTGGACCACCCTGTCAGTGACCTGTGGACCTGTGGTGGTGTTTCTCTCCTTCTTCATGCCATTCAGTTCCTAAGTCACTTGGACTGTCCTTCTGTCTCTGCCTCTAGTGAAGACCCCCATTGGTTTGTTCTGGATCTCTTTTGATGGTAGAGTCTGCCTTTACAATAATCCTCCTTGAATTCTGTAGAAACACCACTGAAATAACATATTTAAAATACATCTTTGACCATGTGACTTTCTACCACTAATCTCTTTAGTGGCTTCTCTTTGCCTTTAAGAGAAAACCCAGGTTCTTCTATGTGGCCTAGTCAGCACTGTGCGCAGATTCCTGTCTGCCTCTCCAGACCCATCTCTTGACTCTCCCAATCTGCTGCTTCACACCCTAGCACCACTGTCTGTTATAGCCTCCCTCCACCCCAGGCCCCTGCTTAGGAGGACTCTTCTTACCTGTGTGCCGCTGTAGGCTGCACTGCACGGACTGTCAGCCCTTGCCACTCACTTACCACCTCATCTTTTAAGATGCAGCTCAGAGAACTGGGGAAGTGTGTAAATCTGTTTGCTATACAACATGAGGACCTGCATTTAGATGTCTAAGCAGCACATCTCTACCCCTGCACCA